TGAAACGTTTGGTTTTAATTTCTAACTGCGAACTTTCTCAATTACTTTAAGAAAGCAATAACATCACATTATCAGATCCTTGTACATATTTACATTAACTCAACTTTGAAATTGTTCGCAAGTAAGACTATCATTTTTCTGTATATGTCAAATTCCATAGAATAGTTAAAAATTTCAATAGTAAATATTTTAAGTACCTCATAGGCAAAAAGGATATTTGAAATCAATGTTCCCATATTTTTAACTAGATCTCTATCAAGCACACCTATATCAATCCATACAGAACATGTTAAAAAAACATCCAGGTTGGATTATAAGGATATTCTATTCATATCCGTTTTATGTTCGGCAGACGTCTTCAGGAAGTAGTATGGATAGACGAATGTCAGTTTCGTATATTCATAAAACATCCACAAAGGACATATGAAAGACATACGAACGAGATATATATAGGACATCTTAAAAAGGATTATATCATTTATTATATTATATCTATGTATTAATGTATACTAAGCATACTAATATAGATATATATTATGCGGTTTTCGATCATAATTTTTGATAGAACCAATAGGCTCTTTATACAAATGCAAATAAATGTCAACCTAAATTTATTACACACAAACAAAAATAAGAAAAAACACTTATTTGCATATGATACGAAATAAATGCTGTTATTTTTTACAGTAAGGTCTGTCGTTTATTCTTCGTGATTAAACGTTCTTTTGCTGTTCGCAACCACTTTCTTATTCCTTCTTCTAAATCATTAGTTGAACAATTTAATGTTGATGCATTTAGTCTAACAGCAACTGTAGTACAGAAACTTAATAATAGTTTTTAAAAAAAATATTAGTAATCCATGATTAATCATATCTAAATATTCTTGATGGAAACTCATATACCTGATTTTCTTATACTTTTATTGAACACAAATAAATGTCACTAATATACACTTAGGGAAATCCCACATCCAAGCGGCGACGTGCCAACGCACCAATAATGATATATGACTACTGACTAATCTAATGACATCAATGATACTAACTCTATAATATAATATACACATGTGTAGGTATTAGAAAGACTAAGAAAATAGAGAACTCTATGGAACTTAATAAGAAATAGGCGAGATAGGTTAGTAGGATACCTTCTCAGGCATGAAGTTCCAGCAATCCCTGGTTGGACACGCACCTCCACTCTTTCCTATCCTGAGCTAGAACAGCCCACATCTTTAACTATTTCTGAACAGTAATCTAATCTAGGTCTACCTCTACCCCTTCTAGCTTCCGTTTCTGCCTCTAATATGTCTCTAGCTAGACCTTCATACCTGAAAAGGTGTCCTTTCAACCTATCTCATTCAGTGAGTAGACATCGTGTTTTAATATAAGAATTTTTTAATTTACTATTTAACAAATTATTATCTTTTCCTTGGCAAAATAAAACTGGCAAACCCTACTCACCTGTGATGGAGAAAAATCTTTTTTGTGAATAGACGTTACTCATTTAGCAGACATGACTTCATCCGTTGGAATGGCATGTACCTTCGGTCCGTTTCAGTAATTTCCCCGACATCCCAGTACACATTAAAAATACGGTATTTCAGATGTACTGGTGGCGCTGGTAAAACACACCACAACACAAGAATATTACACTATTACGATACAATATTATGCAATAATTACTCTTTTATTCAAAAACAAAGAAAAAGAGAAGAAATTAGCCGCTTTATTACACACATGCACGAGAAAATAAAGGTCAACCACCTATTTAGCTCGTGGCAATTTAAAGCAGACTGCTAATACTTATACCTCGCTATGCCTACGTCATGCGGCTATGACGTCAGGCCACTCAGTTCTTGTATTCTCGGTGTAACTGGCTTTACGTTTTGGGGATACCGCAGCCGACGAAACGTCAAATAAACAGTTCAGACCTACCGGATAAGGATCAAATAAAAAAAGAAAATTTTTATGCCTACACGTTGTTTAGGTACGTGATGGTCTTTTGTCATTATCTTTTGTATAGGTACATAAATAGTTCCGTACCAATCAACAGCAACATGAGTCGAAGGCAGAAACCAGTGACTTATAAGTTAGTGAGCTTACAGAAGACGAACAATATTATGAAATAGATAAAATTGGAATTGACTATGCCACAATTCATTCCAGCGATTCCGACAGTTACCGACGTTGAAAAAGAAAACGATGAATTGGTAGTCCAAGGTATGTCTCCAAACCTGTTAGAGAGTATTTGTAGTGATACCGCAATTGTGTAATCTGGTTCGGATAATGAATAGTCTGAAGAATGCGATCCAGATGATATTGTACCATTAGCAGCATTAGCACAAAAATAAAGAAAGCAGAACTCAATAATTTCGAATAATTTTCTAAGTAATAGCAATTTGCGATGATGGACTTCCTCGTCACTTATGAAGATCGCGAACATTTAAATCCTTTTGAAGAGTTTAATTTGGTATTCACTGACGATATTCTAAACTGTGTTATTTTCTAAACGAACCTGTATGCAGAGCAACGATTTCAAACTTCGGGAAAATCATATGATAAAACAGATATCACAGAAATTAAAACATTATAATGGGTATTAGAAAATATCCCAGCCATTGGAGTTCGTCTCCTGATCTTCACGATCCATACACAAGCAAGCTAATAACACCATTGTAGATAGGTTCGGATGACTTCTTACGCACGTTCACCTAAATGATAACAGCATAATGCCTGAACGCGGTAGAGATAATTATGACAGACTATATAAAGTACGGCCATTTCTTGAATTATTAAAAACTAATTTTCAGTCATGCCTACAAGCTCATGAGAACATTACCGTAGACGAGTAATTGATAAAATTTAAAGAACGCTCTTCTCTAAAACAATATTTTCCAGAAAAAAAACATCAAAAGATGTAGATATTAGTTGATGAAGCAGAGTATTGTTGGATTTTGAGGTATACACTGGGAAGACAGGAAATGGGATAGAAAAAAGCTTATGAGCCAGGGTTGTAAAAGCACTGGCGGCCCCGCTTATAAATAAAAATCACCGAATACTTTTTGACAACTTATTTGTTTCGGTGAAGCTCATTCAAGATCTCCTTTCGCTTAAATTATTTGCTACTGGCACAGTCAATTCGAACTGGAAGGATTTACCTAAATTCAGACCTGATAAAGATCTAAAACGAGGAAAGTATGAGTGGCACACGACTAATATAGGAGTGACCGCAGTAAAAGGACGCGATAAGAGATCTGTTCATCTACTCCCTAATTATCACGATCCTTCTATTACTACAGGAGTTAGAAGGAAAGAAAAAATGGACTTTTTCAAATACCTTGCCCTTGACTGACTATAAAATGAAAATGAACTTTGTAGATAAATTTAACCAAAGATGAGCTTTATCGGAAAAGTCCTAAATGGTGGCACAGAATTTTTTTCTTCTTCATAGATACAACATTGGTAAATGATTTTGTTATTTATAATTTGAATAATTATTCGTCCAAACTAAGTCTAAAAGATTTTCGAAGACGAGTCAGTTACTATCTCGCTGCAAGAACGTGTCTGAATAAAAGATTTCTTCCCATAGAACATGCTGCAACAATTAAAAGCCATAAATCATCATTATCAGAGACAGTGAAATTAACTGAAACCAGGCATTAATCCATAAGGTCATAGAAGACGTGCCCTTTGCAGCACGAAGAAAAGAGATATTATGTTTAGGGAAAACAAAATTCTGCTTCCAGTCTATCCATAAAAAATAGCTTCCAATAAAATGTCCCCATCGTTGTACTGATTCAAGATATATCCCTATTTTGTATTATTCTAGCTATGAAGTTTCTTGTACCTCTGGCGTTTGATTTTCACTGATATAAAGAAATAGTAGAATGTTTGAGGATCTAATAACTATGATTGATTTATACTCTACGTTCGTAGGATTCACTCTCGTCTGCAACTATTATTTGGTCGTCTTACTTCGATAAATGTTCCAAACAAATTTAAAATGTACAACATAAATTTTTCATATAGTTGTTGCAGCAAGGATAAAGTTACCCCATTTGAGTCATTTAAGAAATATCAGAATGTACTACTATGTGAAAAGGGGGATATGATACTCTTTCATTTGGTTCCGAGTGTTTAAGTCTGCATTTTTGTGCTAGACTTGACATGCTTGATTGAGTAGGCATTGTAGTCCCCCCCCCTCGAACTCATGAAACTCGGTACTCCTTTTACTATTTTTGTTTTAATTTTAAAACTAAATCTGATTATTTTTCTTTAAATTTATGCAACAAATTCATTGTATAAAGGTAGTTTAAGAACACGTGATGGTACACTCCAAATTTGAATGTAGCTTTTCATATGGATAATTACCAATCTAAATAATTATTTCTATAATCTAAAGGAAATATTTCCCGTTTATTCTCAAATAAATAATACGGGTTACAATTTATCAATCGTTTTTGGTTGGTGAAATACCTAATTCCTGCTGTTTTTAAAACATTTAGTTTAAATAAAGCGTATATTAATTTTGAACTTCGGTTTACCCGAATGGAATAAAAACCTTAAATGGCTTACAATTATAGAATCCGCAACCATAGCATAAAACGTTTTAAAAATTACAAAAGCTAAATAAATAAATTGTTGGCAACGTCATCGACGTATGCATTAAATTAACGCTGACCAACCGAAAATCATAAATAATTGGTACTTAATTATCTCCAGTTTATCGGGTTGTGACCATTACTCGCATTTCCCAATCAGTAACCCATTGTTCAAATTTGGTGGTTTAATTTTTTTAATTTAAACTGGAAATGTTCAAAATTACAATAAAGTAATTTATTTATACCTAATATGTTTTAGTTTACATCAAACAAAAAATTAAAACCTTTTTAATATTTAGGCTATCAACGGTTTATAGCGTGACATCTGTCATGATTTAGTGTAAATAGTATCATTAGAAATGTTGCTGTTAAAATCAACAACTGTAGCTGTAATGAAATTTTCCTTCCTAACCTAAATGTCACACATCCATTCGAAACGTCAAAATGACAGTAATAAATAGTTTTTAATTTTTTTTGAAAAAAAGGAAAATATAGAAAACCTTCATCGCCATTGGAAATGCTGTATCCGTTTCGTTGAAGTACAAAATGGTAATCTCTTGTTTGCTTTCATAGTTATGTATTATAAAATGTCTTAAAATGTCACCTGCATAAATAATTTTATACCCTGCATGCTCTTTTCTTTGCTAAATTAGACACAGAGTGAAAATGACTCCCTAAGAGCGTTGGAACGTTTGTTGGACGAATTTTTTAATCATTCCACAAGCAATGAAAAGAAACGGGAAATTGAGAACCAACTGCATTCCTTTAGCAATCAAAGAGACTGCTGGAAATATTGCATTTACTTCTTAGCACATACGTCTAGTCAGTATGTGTCCATGTATTCTATATCTACAATTGAGGTAAATTTGTCTGTGGTAATTTAAGAATTACCGAGTACTTTTAAAATTTTGTTCCAGTCTGTGATAAACCGACAGTGGGTTAGCTTAGACTGGGAACATAGAGTTCAATTAAAGAGTGCATTGTACAGTTATTTAGTTGAACAAGATGTTACGAGTCCCCATTTTTTAAGAAATAAACTGGCTAAACTTCTTGTTGATATTGCCAGATTTGATTGGCCACATTTTTATCCAGAATTTTTTAATAACATTTTGCAAGTAAGTTAATGTTGTATATTGAGGGAATTACATGATTTTTATGTATTAAAACTTTCATAGTTTTTACAATCTGAACAAGGACAAATGCTAGGACTGACTATGCTACGTATAACTAGTGAAGAACTTATGAATCCTCGACCTGATCTCAACAGTTATCGAAAAGAGGAACTTCACAGGTTACTGCAACAACACATTCCACAAGTGTTTCAAATGTTGTGCAACATTTTAGAAGAGTTAGGTAAGAACATAAAAGTTATCTTATATTTTCGCCCCACCAAGTTGTTTATATGAAAAACTGAAATGTTTTCTTTAACCCCTAAATGCTATTGAAATTTTTATTATTATATGAAAAACCAAAATCAGTATGTAGTTAAAATAAAGTAAAGTATGTCTTCCATTCCTGTGTTCAAATTCAAACATTGTCTTAATAACTCTACATTCGACTTAATAAATAGTAATTACCAAATTTAAAGAAGAGAACTATTAGATATTATTGTTGTTTTGCTTATTTATCTATTGTATAGTGTTCATAATTCTAAAGAAGTTGGAGTAGTTCTTGTTAGAGAATACTTGTAGTTAGGTAATGCACATGGACCTTATTAAAGTGAACTTCTATTTAAGTCCTGAAAGTATTAATTTTCTGAACAGTAAACTGTTTTATCTTTTGTTTATTTTTTCAACCAACTTTTGACTTAGATTTCCCTTTTTCTCTGTGTACATGTCAATCCCAATTGAATAGTTTTTTTTAAATGACTGTGTCAATTTGAATGAAATTTCTACCCCTATAAATATTTTTTTTGCTAACATACAGAAACATTAAGAGTTATTTTTTATTCGGTGGATTGTTTTTTTTAGTTGTATGTGAACATGTTGGAATCTTTCTCTTTCATAATTTACGTAAGTAATTGAATAGTTTTTTTTAAATACTTCTGATCGTGTCTATCCTTATACACAGTGTTGATAACTGGAGCAGTCTAAAAGCTGTAGTTGAAGGAATGATTTGTTTCAAATAGCGTGACGATAAACTTTTATGACCAAGATAGATCAGTCTTTATACTGAGTGGTTCAACAGTGTGTTCAAGTTAAAAAAGTTTAAAAGTATATATACTGCTAAATTGCTTTACGGTGAAGTTCACTACAGTTGTACAGTCCTTCCCTTTTGTGTAAACTAAATCAATATTGGGTAACTCATCATCATCATTAGGTCGTTAGTCCTAGGACTGGTTGGACACGCACCTCCGCTCTTTCCTATCCTACTCTAATCTTCGCCTTAACTATTCGCGAACAGTAATCTAACCTAGGTCTACCTCTACCCCTCCTAACTTCCGTTTCTGCCTCTAATATGTCTTTTACTAGACCTTCATGCCTGAGAAGGTNTATAGTGTATGAAAATTGTCAAAATAATCAACTTTCAATCCCCATAACTTTCTATGGGGGTGAGACCGCCGCAAATTTTTTATGGGGTTTTACTCAGGTGATCACCCTCTTTCGATCCCCCGCACTATCTAAATCTTTACCGCAGTTTTGATATCGTTAGCAAATTTCGTCCACCTTATTAGTTTTTAATTATTTGGAGTATGTAAATCCGTGGGGGCTAAATCTGGGAGATTCAAAAACTCACACTCACATACGACGCGCAACTCCTTTGACACGTGAGCATTTGTAACACCCGTATTATACAGACGTTGGGCATACAAAGTTAATCATAAAGAATATTCAAAATTGTTGTACAAATTACTTGTCGCTATCCCACCAATTTAGTTTCCCAACATTCCACGAATCTTTTGCCCTACTCTCCTAGTAATATTAATAACTTTCAAAACATTTATTCAAATGATTCTTGTTTACTCGAAAACTGTTTATATTAATAGGTTACTATTTAAAACAATTATGGATGGTAGCGATCGAAAAGAAATAATCAAAATTGTCCATTCGTGAAACGATTTGTCATGTATATCCTTTTCAGGGAAAAGGCCGAGACATTCAGCAACTGCAACACCTCCACCGTCTCCTACTCATCCCAGTTCAGTTCCTGATTTAACAAAAGAGCTGACAGCTGCGTCTTTTAGGCCAGACAACAAGGACATCACCAAAGAGGCCTTGGCTGCAACCCAACATATTTTTTCATGGGTCAACCTCACTCAAGTGCCGTTGCAACTTATTCGATCTATTTTTCACTTTACTAACATTTCTAGTTATGCCCAGGTAAGTTTTACCTTAATATGCATATATTTATATATTTGTGGTTGATTTACCGTTCTTCTACAATAGGATGACGATGACATGTGTGTTCTTGCCATGTCAACGTTAAATGAACTTCTGTACAGAAAATGTGCTCCACCAGACAGTCAAAATCTGTTTATCGAACTTTACCACCTAACTGTACAACTGCTCAGAGATATAATGAGTCCGAATTCAGATAAGATAGAAACGCTTGGCAATGAGTAAGTTTCCACTTTACGTTCTTATACAGTTAGTCATAAGTTTTATTGGTTATCTTTTTAATACAATATTTTTTATTGATATTAATTAATTGTGAAAAAGAAAGTGGTTATTAAGTAAAATCCCGAAAACAGCTCGATTACATTTTCATTTGCAGATAATTAATTAGTAAATTTTTCTACATCGGTAAATACCGCTTAATCATGTTATTTATTAAGTCGTATATATAATATTCTTCTCTCGATTGCATTAATTCTGATTTTGATAACAACACTGTAAAAAATTGTTTGCCTTCTTCCAAAAAATTAAACATTGTACGCGCTGACTGATTAGCTAACACCACACATTAAATGAGCTCTCCAATAACCCTTCACTGCTTGCTCCGCAAAATAATTACTTATTATTATGAATGATAAAATTTTTGAAGCAACAAAGAAAACAAAAGATTCTATTCTAAGCAGCACACAAATGAAAAATGTTAAAAAGCCAGAATTTTGATTTCTTTTTCTGTTTTCTTAAAGTTATGTGATGGTTTTTCAGTTTTATGGAAAAACTGTCGGAACTGCTTGTGTTGCTGATTGAGCAGCACTTGTGGCGTTTAGAGGCTGAACCCGGTTTCTCTGCATTGGAAATCCTTTCTTTGCTATTTCAGCTAACAATGCAAGTGCCCTCGGTCGCTTGTTATCTAAGATGTCTTTCAGTATGGGGCGCCTTCATTAAACAACTCAAAGCACAAAATGCTCACAAGTAATAAAAACATTGCATAATTTATTCATTACATTTTTAGCTCCTACTTTTTCAGTCGTTGCTTATTAATAATTGTATATTAGTAATTCAATTGTTGTGTCATTAACAGTTTTATTAGTATTATTTATTAACTCTTCATAAATCCTTTCTGGAGCTTAACTTTTTATTCGTTAATATATTATTTAAAGTTGATTATTTTTTAGGTATTCTCAGGCTCTACTGGGTTTAGTAACAGCAGTTCTGAATAAAATGCAATTTACGTATAATAGAAAACAGTTGGACGAAGTTGATAGCGAACTAGGCGATGATGAGGTAATTATTTCTTAATGTAGAATCAAATTATATACATAATATATTCTCATTTATATATTTTTTGTTCTATAATTAGGAAGAGACTGAGTGGCAATTTTTCTTAAAAACTTCCATAGAAATAATTGCAATGGTTGCGGAGTACAATCCGCAAGAAGTGTTCAATCAAGTGGTAAGTCTGCTTATATCTTAATTCGTTAAAAATATCAACCATTATTTGTGTTCTGTGTCATACATTATTTTATCTCGTCTACTAGTGCCTTCAACGAAAATAATAATTAGGATGGAGTACTATTTTTGGGCAGAGGCATATTCGTCCGGCAAGTAAAAAATAGTCATTATTTTTATAAAATTTCAAAAAATAAATAAAAAATAGAAAATGAATTTACTACCTTTATGAACAAAAGTCCATTATATAAACAATTTACAATACAACTGAATTCTTTTATTTTTGACATAGAACACCAATAAAGGTATTTTCATTTAAAAATTTTATAGTTGGAATAAAATCATACTTCCTAAAAAGCAACAAATATTTTCTTAAAAGAAAAGGAATTACAATTTGTTTTAGTTAATTCCGTGGAAGGGAGCGAACGATATATATTGTGTTCTGGAAAATGCCGTTGACCACAAAAATCTCATGTTCAAAATAGAAATTTCCGAAACTGAAAGACTGCATTGTGTCTTAAGAGATTTTGCCTCCTTGACGCAAACCTTAGCTAGACTTTCTACATTTTTTATAGATGGTAGGAAAATCAATATTTTCGTTTAATTATTTCAGTATTAAACGTAAATTTGCTGTTGTAGATAATAATGAGTACAACAAAAATTCAGCGCCAATCATTGATAGCCTCGTACATAAACTCATTGAAAGTAGTTGCATTGCAACGAATTCCAGATTTTATCTATTGAAAATTGGAGACTCCAAACTTGTCGAATGTTTCGCTGAAGCGTAAGTTATAAGAGTAATTTATATATGGCCCATGCTTAAACTATAATTGAGTATTATTCTTATTAAAAGTAAATTTTATTTCATTACTAACCATTGTCAACTAATTAGCATAAAAAATCCGTTTACTTACCTGAAAATGTGACTTTCGTACTCCATTTTAAACTTCTTATTAGATGCAAGCGTTAATTTCACGTCAATTAATCGTCGACATGTACATAATGCTTTGAAGAAAGCGGGTGCTAATAACATTATCGTTGTGAACGATCTATACGGCCTTTAGGCGATGAACAGCTCAACCTGATAATTATTATTACACTAGTTATAAATCTGTCATTGTTGATAATGCTATGAACGAGTTTAATCAGTTATTTTATTTTTAATTATAATTTATATTAAAAACTACCAAAAGCCATTGTGACTGTTGATAAATTTAACCAAAGATGAGCTTTATCGGAAAAGTCCTAAATGGTGGCACAGAATTTTTTTCTTCTTCATAGATACAACATTGGTTATCTATGTATTAATGTATACTAAGCATACTAATATAGATATATATTATGCGGTTTTCGATCATAATTTTTGATAGAACCAATAGGCTCTTTATACAAATGCAAATAAATGTCAACCTAAATTTATTACACACAAACAAAAATAAGAAAAAACANTTATATAAATATGTATATGAATTCTATTTCTAAAACGCCTCAATCCCAGAAAGTGGACTTTTGACATTAAGCACAAGAATATGAATCCTACAGGAACAAACAGAAGATTATCTACGTAGAATACTAAAATAATCATGCAAATTGTGGGTTCCACATAGAACAAAATATCATTTCTACGTGACAGTTCTTTACGTGTTTTTTTTTATCTTCAGACATAGTCAGCTTCTGGCAAGCCTTAAACCATGGCTATCTTGGTTCCTAGTCAAGGGAGGTATCAATAACCTTCGCCTGACCCAACTTCTCGAAGTTTGTCTCCCCATTCTCAGCGCTGGTACTCAAAATCCCAAAAAGGTCAATCACGCTGCTGCTCATCTCCTCCTAACGCTCACCAATACCGTTTTCCCTCCCGTTTTAATTATGCAACCTTCAGTTGTGGAATTCATTCATGTCGCTCCTTCATTGAAATTCGCATCACAACAGACGAAGGAGGTAATAGATAATGCTATTTGCAACGTGTTGATAAGGCCTTGGGGAGAATTATCCCAAGCTGACGCCAACCAGAGAAATTTTTTAATAAGCGTTTTTTTCGATAAAATAACGAAAGACTTCAGAGAATTAAGCAACGACACTTACGAGAACAAAGTAAGAGAGGTGGTGGGGAGTACATTACCATCGTTGGCTCATGTGATACAGTTTTCTAAGAATCATCCAAATTCGTCCAAAAAATTGCTTTATATGGGATTGAAGGTATGTTGTAAAGATGGAATTTATTTTATTTTTTAATAATTTATGTTTTCCCATTAGGCGTCAATAGATCATGCATTGGATTTATTTCCTGAATATGCAAAATACCCGGAAGTTAGCGATAATATTTTAGCATTGTTTCTAGAAGTATTAGGGGTTTTGCAACAACAGTTTGGTGTAGAAAATACGCGGCGTTCAGTAGAAGTTTTCCTAGAAGTTGCTATAAGGTCAGTAAACCCTCCCTAAATTAATATTTCCCGTTTTAATTTTGAATTTTTTAATTTCAATTCAATTTTTGTGTATATTTTCAGTCAGCAACAATCTAAAAATCTGTCAGGCCTAGATAAACTTTTACAAATACTTCAGCTTGTTGTAGAAGCGCCGGGCCCCCCATATAGAAGCTTTCTTCCTGGTATTTTACAGCTTTGTCTTGAACATGTTCATCCCTTAGTTATCTCGCAGGCTAATGATCAACCTGGTGTTATAATTGCATTATTAACCTTATTACACAGGTGAGTCTACATAGAGTGATTGTATTTTCCTTAAAATCTGTTCCAAAATTCATGATATACATACATCCCAATTTCTTATAAAAACTACTTATAAATACCATAACATATGTGTTTTATACAAGACTTCCAAGGCTTTTCTGTGACCTCTTATGGCAAAAATGGAAAGTAGAAAATATTTTATATTTAAACCATATGATCCTTGAGTATTGTTACCATTAATTTCGTACTTAATATGTACTTAACTCAACGAGTGTATTAGTCAGTAGAAAAAAATAAACGTCAGTGTCGAGTCCACCGCTAATGTTAAGTAGTCGAAGAAATATCCTCCAACTTCTGCATAGCGCGTTTTTTTTTTTCGATAAAAATATTCCTTTTTAAATATTTGTTATGCAAAACCTTATCATGCCAAATAAGAATTTTTTATTTTCATACTTGTTAGAATAAGCGAGTAATAAAATGCAGAAACGAGAAACTGGTTTATATATAAGAAATTTAGTAGCACAATACAAGTAGTGTTAATAATGGTAGCCAGTTTTTTTTAATAAATATTCATACATTACAGATGTTCGTTTAAACATATTGATGATTGCACAAAAAATATATTTTGTGTTAACTTAAACCTTAAATCACTTCAGATTACCATCTTCAACAAAGTAATTTTTATTCTTTTCTAGTATATTTCTACACAGATGGCAATACTTCTACGTTTCACAGGTGAGATTAGGTCATTCTCCAGGATGTAGTGATACAGATCCGAGTTCAGATACCCCTCAACATCCCATTCAACTCCTAGCTGTTTTACAAGTATTCGGACAGACTCTTTTACAACCGGATATAAACGTTTTTCGAACCAGTTTAGCAGCTTTAGAAGATCTCAATTCCAAATGGAAACTATACTACAAGGTTATTATTAAAAGTCTTGGGTTATTTTTTAACTTTTATGAAAAATAGTCATCATCATAAGGTCGTCAGTCCTAAGACTGGTTGGACACGCACCTCCACTCTTTCCTATCCTGAGCTAATCTTCACATTTCCCTAAAACTAAAACATCCCATATCCTTAACTATTTGCGAACAGTAATCTAATCTAGGTCTACTTCTACCCTTTCTTTAATGAAAATTAAAAACCTAATTTGAAAACGTAAAATGTAAACATTCCTTTTATTTTTCAGACTTTGTTTCGGGAACAACTTCTGAACCAATTTCTAACAGTTCTGTTTCACACACTTTTGGACAAAACTCATGCCCTTTTAACGGACGACATCCTTTTGGCTATTTACAACATGGCTGCGGTTAATTTTCAAGATTTTTTTGAAAGTTTCATTCCAAATTTTCTACAATCTACAAACGGTCTTGCTCAACCTCAAAAAGATTCATTAAAGCAATGCCTTCAAAAAGAAACGGTAAGTTTTTGAACATGCTTAAAACATTGTAGTAGTTGAAACAAAGTATTTTTTTACCTCAGGCATAAGGAGAAAGACTTAAAAATCATCAATAGAATTAGGGGTATTTTCCAAAAATACATACATATATACATAGAGTTCTTCAAAATGAATGGTACATTAGACGTTTTAGGGAAATTAAGCGTGTAAGAGATTTGAAAATTTACTAATTTAACTAAAACAATTTCAACTGCCAACTGCTTCCTATTATATCGAAGTTGATGCCAATTTTGTAATTTTCAATGCAATAGAATATTTTTTACGATGAATTCATATGAAACACAAAATTTTAAGGTAAACATTGTTAGCCAACTTGTATGCCTACGATGAATTGTTTTTGGGATAATTTAATTTAATATAGAAAAAAAATCGCTACCTCAATCCAGATTATAAAAAATCACACCACATCTTACGAGTTTTATAATTTTTACCAGTTATAGTCTTGTCTAATGGGTAATATTTTGTTAAAAATATATTTAAAAGGTAGATAATTTTTTTCCAAAGTTACCGAACTTTTTTTAGTTTTTATAATACTAGAATGCATTAATTTATATTTAAAATGTTTTCAGGATATGCCAACTTTCGTGCAACATATAATTCGTTTTGTAAACGATATGAGGTGTTACAGATTGTGCAATGCCAGTTTGCCTCCTGGTAGTGTGATTTTGTAAATATATATACTGTATACATATATATCTATTAATTTGATTAACGTAAGCTGTAAAAAATCGGAATTTTCTGTAATTTATTTACAATTGTGTTTCATCCAACTTTTATCGTTTATTATTAAAGAAAATAAAAAACATTATCATGTCATTACAAAACCCCCCTTTTCATGATGAAAACAAGCAGCTTTAGAATATACTTTAATTGCAAAATCCAAAAAAATATGTTTATTCTACAAATGGAAATAAGAAAGTAAATGAAATAATTTTATGTTTGTGTGAAAATGCCTGTCCCAATCTTATGGAATTTGAATGGCCGTCCCCTATTTCGTCCACTGAAAAGAAAAAAACTACATATATAAAACTATATTTTACATTTTGAAATTTTTTTTAAAGCAAATGTCGGTAACCTGTTCGCTGCCAGAAATTTTCATTTTGAAACATTGTTTATGGTGAATAATAAGATAATTTTTATACAAAACGTAAAACGACGAACAGCACAGTCATTAAGTATTGACGACACTCGTCCATATAATGTCGCTATATGGTACTTATATTCGCTACTGCTTTCTTCTACGAAACGCGTCGGCTTTATTTTGAAAGTATTCGTTATATGTCTATGTTTTATAATTTGTTTTTAAATTTTGTACTTAATTTTCGGTATTTAATAGGCACTTGAAACGGATCACTTGGTGATAAGTTACCGACACCTGCTGTAAAACAAATGCTTAACTCAACATTGTTATATTTTCACATTAAAATAAAAAAATTTTGTGAAACTTCACAACAATTTTACTTAAAAACGGTGCAGAAAAATCTTTACCTAACATTCCTAAAGAAGACAACATTTTGTTGAAAAGCGGCAGGATCCGATGTCTCCAAGTAAACATCAAAATACATACACAGGCATTTAATTTGAGCAGCCAACAACCATTCGGCACAGGAGCTTCCATGACACCATCCTACATTAACAGCTCTTTCCATGTCCCTAACGTCATCTGAATTTCCCGAATGCAATTCCCCTTTGTATTTCACCAGTAGAACGAAAATGGGAAGTTGTATTGGATAATTATTTTTAACGACAATATGAGCTTGCATGATCGCATTATTTCGCGAAATGATCGCAGTATAAAACAAATCTGACTGACCCACCACCTCATTCTCAATAAAAAGCGCGGACGAAGGAACTTTGCAAAAGTTTGACCAAGAAGACGATACAAATTTTGTCAGGGACGAAACAGACATTTTAGGAAAATCAACATGATTAGAAATAGACGGAATTATGTTCGATTCAAGTTGTTGTAACTGAGTCGCAAGGGCTACGTGAGAATTGAGTCGTTTTATAATTGTTTTAAGTACGATTTCGACGCTCGCTTGACTGAGAGTATTTGAAAATTTTTTTTCGTGTTCTTGTTCTAGGAAATCCATCCCACAAATTCGCTGAGCCCACTGATAAGCGTTACCTAGCATTAAATCAAAAATAAAGTCATGAATTAAAATAAAATATAGTATATATACATATGTAATTAAAAAAATCGAAATGCAAGTAAAAAATGTATGTAGTCTCACCTAATTCTGTCACTAAAGAACTGTAGGAATCTACACCGACTTTTTTTAACTGATAGGTATTTCCTGAATTTGGGCTGTTTGTGCCTTTATCTTCTTCAAACAACTCCCCCAGTAAATTATTCCCATTTAAAATTTCCTTTGCCGTAAATGCAGAAAAATTATCTGAATATTCACTAGAAGACACAACAGTTACAATATTTAATTGGTATCTATAGCTAAATGTCATTTTCAAGGCAACTCCTTCTTTAGACTTAACAATGATTTGAACAGCCAATGGATGAGGGCTCAAAAGTCGTTTTTTCTTTTCTTCGTTACGATCAATTATCGACGATTTTCTTCGACGTCGTTTTTTAACTTCAGCAATTTCTTCAACTTCTTGTTCAGTTTCTTGTTCAGATTCATCATTGTTACTGTTCCTGAATGTGTTCTGTTGCTCTTTCCACTGCTGAGCATCATCTTGATCTCCAAGTATTTCTAAACCTATATCTGAAATATAAACTTGCTTAAATGCATCAGCATAAACGTACAATAAGTACAAAGGTTCAGGTAAAAGCCTTGCTGCCTTATGTTCAGCATACAATTTGCCAATAGGCAATCCCAACTGCTCTTGCAGTGGTTTTGTGGCTTCTAGAACAGTCGCTAAACGAGGAGCCAACAAATCAAGTTTATTTTTCTTCTGTATGATATCTTTAGCTAATTGTTTTTTCTCGTCTTCCAATTTTTTACATAATTCTGCCAACTGTTTACGCTGCGTCAGTTCATATTCTAATCTAGCGACATGTCTGTCATGCTTTAAGGCATCAGTAAGTTCAGTAACTTGAAATGGTTTAGTAACAGATTCAGGAGCTTCTTTCAAAAATTCTTCTAAAGATATTAACTCAATATCTTCATCTTTAGATTTAAACTGTTTACATTTATTGTATTCAGACATCAAATGTCCTGCTTCATAGAGAAGATTTTGATATTGTAAGTTAGTACTATCAACTTTCTGCTTTTCGATACTGAGTGATTCTCTGGCATGTACTGAACGAAATTTATCTAATCTATTCAATTTCTTTAAGGCTGCTACGAGAAGACATGCTTGTGTACACTTTTCTGAAATCTTTAAACGGGCCTACAAATATATTTACAAATAAACAAAAAAATAATCTTTAATGATGTCTCACTTCTGAATTATTCTGAACTTTTAAATCAAATATATCAGCAAGTATTTGACGTATACTTTTACAAGTATCAAAATATAAATTTGCATCGTCTTCTGCAGACCTAGTTAATGCTTCCTTCTCTTCATAATCTACTACTTTCTAAAAATCAACAATTTCATTAAGTGATCTAATAAAAACAGGCTATCCTTTATAACCTTATAAACATCTACTTCTCCGTCATTATCTGCAGAATTCGTCTTGCGTCGTTTTTCTTTCACCATGATTAATTTGAATTTGTTCCAGCTAAATTTAAAGCAATATTAATATATTTTTTTTACAATTCAAATCTGATTCAAGTAGAGGTTATGCCCATAGATATTTGTGTCAAATAAGATATTTCACAGTTGTTGATAGAAATCATAGATAATAGATAGAAATCATATTTTCGTTTTATAATTCCCGAGATAATAATTTATTATTAAAAACTATGACCAGTAATAAGCAAGACCAGAGATAGGAGCAATATCTTATTTCGAAATTAATGAGTCTAAAACTCTAAATAGCATCACTAATAAAGGATAGAAAACACATTAGTCCGTTGCGCGATCAGTGACTGCGCATCAATTTCGCAAAACATAAGCAATATGACTTAAGGAACACAGAAAATATAAATAACAGCAGTAAAGAAAAAAGAAATGTTTTATTTTTAACTAAATAAATAAAAAACTTTGTAAATACACCAATGTTGTTAGAATAAATGTTTTTGTTTTTGTAAAAAAATATGAAAAATATAAATTTTTATAGAAAATAAGACGTAGGCGTGTAGCGCGTTTGTTTTTTGCACATGTGTGAACACCTACTTTTTCTATGCATTTTCGCAGGTTTATTCTGTACAGATCAGATGCGTATACCTTTCTGCGCAGCGAACGACCGAGCACAACTTAACATTACCGACATTCCATATCACACTCTTACACATGAAGACTATATTTAAAATATAAAAGGAAACCGTAGCGAAATGAATGATTACATTAGGAGAATTTACCTCAAATACCACAACACTGAAAAAAACGCGGACACGTGTTTCGTCTACTTATATTGTGTGCAATTTCAATGCAAGACCTATCAGAATTTACGCGTGAAATATAACGNTAATAATGGGACAAAACTAATTCGTAAATTAAAGTTACCTGTAATTAATTTTGTACTGAATTTATCCTGATTTCCTGCAAACATAACATGAGGACATTTCTCAATAACAAAAGGATCAAAATCATAAAATGGAAAACACCCCAAAGTATCAGGGGCAGTAGGAGCCAAATGACCCCATCTTATGGTATTTTCCAAGGCATTAATTGCTTCTGTAACATCACTAAATTTGAGTATACTTTCAACAGGTTGCCCTGAACTTCCCAAGAAATTTATTCCTTCAATTTCGCAATCATACGGATTTGAAACTAAATTCATTGATTTATAAATTGATGACTGTGGAAACATGCAGTGATGCATAGGTTTTTGAGGTAATATTAAATTAGATGGATCATACTCCCCTGGCATCACATCTACTTCTATTGACTTACACAATTGCACAAGTATTGAATCGAATTGTTGGACTGTTTCAACTGATTCTGATGAAGTTGTTGTTTTAGAAGTCATGGAAATTTTAACTTCATGTTTTATTGTCTCACTGTGTATGCTATTTCCAGCTATTATTAATCTGACAATGTTACAGATTCCTGATTTATTTGCCAGACCAGTTATCCAATCAATGAACATACTTAATGCCAAAGCAGAATTTTCTCCATGAGCAATATCCAATCCACTTATGAGAACAACATATATATCTTTAAGAAGCAAAGGACGATCTATTTGAGGTTGCAAGTCCACAAAGCAATAATCTTCAACCAAAAATTTGCCATTATTATCATCATTACCCAATAAAGCACATACAATTCCACTGACTACATTTTTTGGTTTTAAGACATTGCTTTCAACTTGATATCTTTGTTGTTCATCTTCTATATAAAGGCTATCAGTTTCATCAGTGTAATGATCATAAATGGGCTGTGGAGTAAGATTGTTTATTTCTGCAAGTTCCTTTAAGATAGATGGTTTTAGTTTTTGGTCTTTGTAGAGGGTTCCAAAAACAATGCATTTAGGAAAAGTTTCCTCAGCCAATTTGTACACTTTATAAACTGGATATTTGTTCTTCCATTTCTTATCAACCCTCTCTTTAAGTAATTCGATCATTTTTTCTAATCTAATAGTATAAAGATTACAATACTGTTTGGAAAAATCGTTATAAATTTTTGTGAATCGCTGAGAATGATTAATATAGGATGCTTCCCAACGATCACTGTCAGAATGTGTGACTACCATTGTAAACTCGCTTTACCTCTATTTTGTATATATCACATTAAATATCTGCTTCAATTTTAAATTAATTGATGCAACAGTTTATACTCTTTAGGTTATTACATGTCTTGACAAACGTAAATAATACATGGCGGGAAAGATTCAAAATCAAAAGAAATATAGTAACTAGGTTATAGCAGATACTCACTTTACGAACCTTCTTTTCACATTATTTACTTTTTATTTTGTATATGTAGTCTTAAAAATCCGATTCAACGGGGCTTAAACCATGACGAAGTTCTAGTAGAGCATATATGAGCATAGATAATAGATCAATAGAACTAGAGTGGGTGGATCAGCTTGCGAGTTTCGATGATTTAGGGAGCCGAACCATTGGTTCAATGATAATAGGAGGGGGGGGGTATTTAAAGAGAAACCAGACTATGAGAAGTCCCTGAAAGAAGGCAGTAACTCTTTCAGTACTCAGGGTGGCAGAGATCGCGAGGATCGGTATGCCACTCTGATGCACATTACTCTGGTGGAAGGCAACGTAAAACCACCACATTATGATACCCCAAGAAAAACCTAACTAAAGGGAAGATGCAATATTTCATGAGTCGGAGCGTGGAATGTTAGGGAAACGAGACAAGTAGGGAAATCAGAAAAGTTGAAATTTGAGATAAATAGACTAGAATTAGATACAGTAGGCATTAGTGAAGTTCGTTGGCCAGAATCCAAAGGCTTCTGGGGTGGAGACTATTATTTTATGCAGAACCTTCCACCTTCCACATACAAGTGTACAAGCTTAAATCCACTGTTTGCTCATAGTTGGCGCCAGTGAGCATATCAAGCTGATATGTACATGCCATATTTATTTTATGAGTATGACATCTGTCAACAATAGTCAGTTCACATCATCATCAATTTCGTACAAAACTATACTTTTTATTTTCAATGATCATGTCTAGTTTTGTGTCAGAAAAAAAGCATTTGCGGGAAGCTCTACTTTTCTGCTTCAATTTGAAGAGATCAGCCGCTGAATCGCATCGAATGCTTGTGGAGGCCTACGGTGACAATGCTTTATCGGAAACAACGTGCCGAGACTGGTTTCGTCAATTCAAAAATGGCAGTTTCGATTTGAGCGACAAGGAGCGTGAAAATCGGCCCAGGATATTTGAGGACCACGAATTGAAGGCTCTTTTGGACGACGATGATACCAATCACAGAAAATGCTTGCTGAACAATTAGGTGTTTCTCAACAAGCCATTTCCATGCGTCTACATGCTATGGGTAAGGTTCAAAGGATAGGAAAATGGGTGCCGCATGAATTGAACGATAGGCAGATGGAACGACGCCAAAACACATGCGAAACCTTACTTACCAGACAAAAAAGAACGATGTTTTTGCATCGGTTTGTGACGGGCGATGAAAAGTGGATATATTTTGAGAATGCTAAACGAAGAAAATCATGAGTTGATCCCGGCCAACCATCAACATCATTCCCAAGACCAAATTGCTTCGGACAGAAGACGATGCTGTGCGTTTGGTGGGATCAGCGGGGTATCATCTACTATGAACTGTTGAAACCTGGTGAAACTGTTGATGCCCACCGTTATCACTAGCAACTGATCAAATTGCACCGTGTTCTGCGTGAAAAAAGGCCCGAATATGAGCAAAGACATGAAAAGACTGATTTTCAGCTCAAAAAAAGTTCAAAACTATTTAGAGACCCTTAACTGGGGGAGCTATACCACCCCGCTTATTCATCAGACCTGACCCCTTCCGACTATCATTTGTTTGACTCGATAGGTCACTCGCTCGCTGAGCAGCACGATTCATACGACGATGTCCGAAAATGGCTTGATGAGTGGTTTGCCCCGAAAGAAGAAAAATTTTTTTGGCGTGGAATCCATAAATTACCCCAAAAGATGGAAGAAATATATCGAAAGCACTGGACAGTATTTCGAATAAATTTGATTTTACTTTTTATAAAAAAAACAGCGGATTTAAGCTTGTATACAACTACGCTCTACTATCCCCTAGTGAACGTGACGCGACGGACTGTACTCTTAAGATTATCACAGTATAAGAACTTTCCAAAGAAGGTCAATAAACGTATAAGGGGTAACTGTACTCCGAAAACAACTAATATTAGCGAACTTAACCAATTTTTAGGGTGAGCGGTAGGCTTCAAAACGCCTCAATACCATTTCCACAAACCCATTCATTAATATCAAGTTGTAAAAATCCCTTAACGCACTTAACAACAAATGAAAGGCACAAACGATTGCTACATGCTGGATGTTGGGTCGTTCTGGCTTCTTATAGAATGTGACATTCGCCGATTACTACGAAACGATCAATAAAGTGAACCATACCTAGATTTATCCGGTATTGTAAGGTAGTCAGCGCCAATTTTCTTTCTACTTGTGTAGTTTATCTCAACCTCTTTGATAATGAAGATCGTAATACGGAAGCAGCGAACTATTTATCAGAACGCCAAATCAACAGGCACGTAATTCCCCTTTCAGTACCACATTTTGGAGAATTATATAAAGGTGTTAATAAATCAGCAAAGGGTCACCTAAAACGAGTCATAGGACACACTAAGTTAGCCTATGAAGAATTATTGACCGTGTTAACGTAAATCGAAACTTGTTTAAATTCACAATCACTTATTCAGACTATCCTAACGACCTTATTCCCTTAGCCCCAGATCCCTTTTCGATTAGACAGCCACTAACTAGTTTTACAGAACCGAACCTCAAGGACATAAAGGTAACCAGACGAAAACGGTATCAGAAGCTAGTCAAGGTATTGCAACAATCTTGCTACCCATGCGATGGCGTATGAGACGTAACCTAGAATTAGGCAACGATAACGTAATGAGAGTGCTAATCATCAGGACATCCAAAAGAATCATTAAACGACCAGTTAAAAATGTGTGCATTTTGCCGACCGGAAAAGAAAACGACGAGCGGATCCCTTATCAGCAATAATGGACACTGTCAGTAAGTAAACCCTAACAGTGTAGCGATAGTGTTAAGGATAAAAGGACACAATTTTGAAACCTTTGTTCAGTGTAGTGTTGTGATAAAAACAATAATGCTATGTAAAAATAGAACTTGTGTTTAGTTATTAGTCTGTGTTAATAGAAACAATGAAACTAGTGTCATATAAGAACTTGTAAGTTATGTTTGGAAAAAATTGTATTTTTTCGGTGGGCGAAATTCTGCAGTTAGGTTCGCGGCTAATCTCCGAGCCTCAGTGTCATCCAAACCCGTCCATCTCGACACTTTTCGAATTCGCCCCTAAACCAAACGACCGTTTCAGAAGGCCCTACCACCTTCTACTCTGAGCTGCTTCCCTTCCGTTCATTCCTAGTTTCACTTTTTTAGCGTGAGTGCCCACCCAACTCATCCGAGGTGAGCCATTTCCGCACAATGCTTCATTCCTACACCCATTCCCCTTGATCTCCCTACTCGAGGAGGGGTTTTAGTCAGTAGGCGCTTCGACAAATCCGACACTACCTCCATTCAGGGGGTGTCTTTTGAAGATTTCCCCTCTTCGAGAAAAAAACTAAACAAAAAAAAAGTCAGAAAGCAGTTCAAGAATTCCAACTCGTTCAATTCAAGCAGTTCATTTAATGCAATTCAATTATTTAATTCACTGAGTTCAAGTATTCTACAGAACTCATTTTCAGTATCTACAAGTAATCAGCCTTCGTTTATGTATGAACCTTACCGTTGTACCATACAACGAACTTGTAACGTAACATTTTAGTGACCGTTTTACAACTCGTATTTTTTCTATACTTGTTTTAATTAAACATAGTTCAAGATGTTGAAATGTTTTGTTTGAAAACATCAACATTTAAACAATTAGCCCTATCGTAATGTTTTGTGGAATTTTACGCAGAAAGCGAGAATAAAAGGACGGGGTTTGTTTCTTTATTTTCCAAAGTTGTCGCTGTTATTTGTATGTTAGTGATAGTGAGATGAAATTAGTATAATGATGTGACATTATGGAGAACAAGGTAACGTTAATGATTCGTTTTCCTTCTGATGGTTATTAAATTTAAAATAAACATTGAAGCAAAAGCAAGTAAATTTATTAGCAACCGAGACATAAAATGGACCTCGCATAATAGATTCCGCCGACATCCACGTTTAGCTACGCCACTGACTGGGGAGCCATTAGTTTTTATTTTATTGTAGCAAAGTTTAACGAATATAAAATGTTTATAAGTGTCTATTTATTGGAAAACGAAAAAAAGCCGGCAAAATAATCTAACTATCTATCTTCATCATCATAAAGTCGTCGAATGGTTGGACACGCACCTCCACTCCTTCCTATCCTGAGCTAATCCTAAAACTAGAACGAACAACCCACAACCTTAACTAGTTGCGAACAGTAATCTAATCTAGGTCTACCTCTACTTCTTATTGACTTCCATAGAGACATTTGTTATCCTATTCTTTTTAATACCTCTTCATTTCTAACCTTCTCTATCCACGGTATCTCATCATTCGCCTATAACACCACATTTCGAACGCTTCTAACCTTTCGCACCCATACAGCACCGTGCTCCAAACATACACCTTTAACAACCTTTTCGAATTTCCAAATTAACCGTTCGCGAACATAGAAGTAACTTCTTCTTATCGAAGGCGACTCGATCCTGCGCTATCCTCTACTTTATATTCCTACTGTGCCTTCCATCCTGACTTACCTGACTTCCTAGATACCTAAAATCGGACACTTCTTCTAATTTTTCGTTTCCTATCATTACATTCCCTCTTTCCCTACTTTTTCTTCTCGTGCATACCAGTATTTTTGTTTTACTTTTATTTATTTTCATACAGTACTGTTTCGTCAATACCATTTTATTTAAAGCTATCTCTAACTCCTCCTTGCTAGGTGTTAATACTGCTATATCATCTGTAACTCTAAGCATACTAATCTTTTGCCCCTGTATATCTATCCCTACAGTTGTACTGTCTTTAATGATGTTGATCACGTCTTCGATGTATAGATTAAAAAGTAGCGGTGACGGTATGCATCCCTGTCTGACTCCCTTCCTAATATTTACTTCTCTACGTTACAGCCCCATCTCTTCAACTGCCTGCTGCTCTTTATATAAACTAAGTATCACTCTTCTATCTTTGTAACTCTGTAACTCTACATTTTTAAGTATATTTAACATCTTGTCCCATTTAACATTGTCAAAAGCTTTTTCTCCTCTATACAATTTTAATTAAGATTTTTGACGCATGGGAAGTTAAGTTAATTGTTCTAAATGTCTCGCACATATCCGCTCCTCTCCTTTTA